GGAGGCTGTTTGAGGGGCATAGTGGGCTCTAGGGGACCCTCGGCCCCACAGGTCGCCCTGACGCACAACGTGGATGAACCTTGAAAACATAACGTTGAGTGGCATTCGGCCGACACAAAAGGACAGAGACTGCATGTGACTGTGGCCAGTCAAGGGGATTCTGACTCTAAGCCTCTAAGGGGTTCAGAGGCTCCAAGTTTCACAGAAGCAGACCACTGGGCCTTTCCCCCCACGGAGCAGCTGGGGGGTTTGAAGTGCCAGCTGCTTCGGTTTAAACCACAGTGACTCATCATGGCTAGTCCATGGTGACGTGGATCGACTGCGGCTGCAAACCCCGCTGGGCTCAGACATGAGAACAATGCTGAGGATGGGGGAGGACCAGGCTGCCTTTTGTTGTGTTGCCCAGAGGAACTGAGTTGATGGCGCCTGGCAACCACTGCCACGGTGCCACAAATACCCAGAAGCCCCCAATTAGGGGTGGGTGCCATAGGTGGAGGGGGGTACTTTACTTGAGGGAAGGGGCTTGAATTTATGGTAAAGGTACTGGGACCATGTGTCACTGACTGAGATACATAGAAGTTGCTCATTGGGCGGATGGTTTCAGTGTGGGTAGTTTCCACGCCACCAAAGGCTATATATGTTGTGATGTGCGAAATGACATGGGATCACATGTCAGCGTCTATCCATGACGTTTGTTCACACACGGGCACGCTTATCTTTTGGACATACCTGTACGGCTGCTTTGGATGCTAAAAGGGTAGATTTGAGTAAACACAACAGAAACCATGTAGACCACCCACAACGCTGAAAAATACAGTTGGATTCGAGCCTGCACAGAAAAAAGTTCGCTGACTTTCCACAGCGAAGATTCTGGACGGCATTTCGTTCTGTGGCCCTTTGAGTTTTGGCAGCGCCTAACGACAGCCGTCGACCGCAGGGCGCCCCCGCGCCGTCCACCCTTTGAAAGGTTGTGGAGCAGTTTCACGTGGTCCCAGGGGGGCCGCCAGCATCCGAAGCGGCTCCGCGGTGAGTGGTTGATCAGCAGGCGGCCTCGGGAGGTCTTTGTTCTGAACCCCTCTTCTCAAATCTTGCCCCTGGCTCCCACTGACCTGGGGGCCAACCCCCCACCCCCACCCCAGCACATCCACTCCCAAGCCAGGCTCCCGTGCGGCCCCCGGACCTTTGCAGATTTGATTCCCAGGCAAAGATCACACCGGAGGCGGCCGAGGGAAAAGGGCCAGATTCTCGCGGTCAGCCTAAAATCAAAGAAAACTAGATTCACTGCCAAATGCAATACTGGCTCGGAGCGACCCTGTCGGACGAGCTAGAACTGCCCTTGTGAGTTTCTGAGACTGCCACTGTTCGGGAGGATAGAAAGCCCACGATTTCTCCCGCGGAGCCGCGGGTGGTTTCGAACCTCCTACTCTCAGGAGCGCAGCCAAACGCTTGAACACTAGTTACAATGTTAAGTATTTCGGAAACAGACACTCAGTCCATTTTTGTGTGTGAAATGGCCCTGCTGCCATCTGGTGGTCATCTCCTCTAACTGTAAGAACACACCCCT